TACATCGAGGCGCGCGAGTGTCTACGTTTTGCGACCATCAAAAAGCGGCCTCCGCAGTCGGGAGTCGATCTCGCGACCTTCGGATCAGCAGTCAAGCAGCGTAACCACTAGACCACCGCAGCGGGTAGAGACGCTGTTAAGTAAATCCTAGTAGTAGAAAAGAAATAACATTAATAAAATCCACAATTGAGATTATTTCCTTATCTATTCGATTGACAAAATGTGAGATAGGCCTAGTGGAACATCTACAGGTTCATAGGCCTCCTCGAGTTTTCTGTCTTATTTTTTTTTCCCTGTGGGTTTTTTTTTTAGATTGCGGTGTATACCTTCGCGCGATGAAAACCAGTGTTTACGCGCGAATAAATATGCGATAAAGAAATAAAGACAAAATGTAGTGGCAACTCTCCGGGATCGTATTTTCAAACGTGAAACGACAATAAAAATTACGGGTACTAAGTGATCTAGAATGTCCCTTGGTCTCTGTCGATGCCCTCGCCTGCTAAGTAGCCATTGTGTCCTACGCAGTGGCTTCAAGAAAAAAAAATAAAACAAGCCAAGAATTGAACGAGAGGAAACTCACTTGAGACGCGAAATATCTCATTTCTTCCTTCCTTCTTTTTTTGTTAAAAGCGACGGCGCTTCAAAGTGATCGCTACCTTATTTTCCTTACGCCATTACCTCCGACGCGTTTTTACCTTTTCTCGCATGAGCTTTCGTCGATGGCCAGCGCGCCAGGAAGACGGCTACGGCTAGCGTGATTCGTTGAATGGACTACCACATTCGCGACCTTCGACATGTGGGGCCAAGTTCGCAAAGCTTCTTTCGTAAGCGCGTTTTCGCGCTGATCTGCCCGCTTCGCTAAATGTAAGCTTCACATCGTAATTGGATGAAATATTTTGTAACTAAAATGTTTACAGTGAGACGTTCCTTGCTCATGTGTGTGCTCTCGAACTCATTGGCAGCGCGGCAGCTTGGGCTAGTTGGTATGACATGACGATAGCTATAGCGCGAGAACAGAACGGCGACACAGAGACAAGTCCTTCGTGTAATTCTTGTCTCTGTGTCGTCGTTCTGTTCTCGCGCTATGACTATCGTCATCGGTAGCCTTTCTTTCGCTGCCGTGACACGAACGGCAAGATTAGTCACAGTGTGCAACATGACCCGCCGTCCTGAATGGCACTTCGCATGGAAATGCGTGGTATGATTGCGCTTACGAAGCTATGTAGCCTATTCCTTACGGCATCCCAAGATATATAAATTCCGATAATAATAATAATAAATAAAATAATGATAATTTGTCGATGTTTTCGTCCTAAAACCAGGTACGATTATGAGGGGCGCCGTAGTTTAGGGTTCCGGAAGATTCGACTATCCGGTGTTCAGTAACATGCACTGACGGCGCACCGAACCCGCGACCTTCCAATGCAGTCCTCCCTGCCCTCACTTTTGGCTCCTCCGAATATGGTGGGCGCGGTCGACGGGCGCTACATACATGCCGCAGCGACGGGCAGCACCAACGTCAGCTGCGGCGCGTTTTTCGGAGCCCTATACAGCGGCAGAGAGCAAACGAGAGGCGAAGAGTCAGTCACTGGCCCCTGCGAAGGCGAAGAGAATGACTGTTTTCCAGCGAACTTGTTTGGCGGCCGGCTCTCTCCTCCCCGGGCCAAGCCGAGCGTTGGTTCCCCTGCTCTTGCCACTCCCGTCCTTCCGTCCGTTCCTGTAGCGCCCCCGTGTTCCGTCGTTTATTTTTTACTTTTCGCCTTTTTTTTTTTTGCAAAACGCCGTAGCCCTCCCCCCCCCCCACCCCGCTTCTTCTATTCTCTCTCTGTCATGGCCGGCCACAGCATATAGCAAAACATGCGCGCTTTGAACAAAAATGCCCCCTCCCTCCCTCCCCACTTCTTCTATGCTCTCTGTCATGGTCACACCGTATAGCAAAACCAGCGCGCTTTGAACGAAAATGGCGCCTTCCGAACGACGTTTTCATAGCGAAAGGAACGCTACCTAACCACCACCTCCAAACCCACTCCTTTACGGAGCCTAGGGGGCAGCAGTACTGCTCGTTCCGTGATCCACGTTTTCGTTCGTGCACGCTGTAGCGCGTTGACGATTTGGGTCGTATGCCGGTGCCTAAATGTTGAACTCGGAAACACTAGCTGTTAAGTTATTTATTGGTCAGCTTCCAACTCGTAAAGTATGTCAATTGCTTGACAGCTGGCACGAAAAGACAGAAAAGCAAAAAAAAAAGTTACACACTCTCCGTCATGGATGCTATGAGCGCCGCTCGCAAACTCAGGTTTGCATGTACTGGTAGTGGTTAGAAGATGAGAAAAGGCACCTAATTTCTGCAACCCGGTCGGGAGCACGGCGCAGTGCCTCATGTACTGAAATGTCCGTATAAAGGGAAGTAAGAGGAGAAAGGCGATTAGAAGCTAGAGAGATATGTAGATATATAGATAGATAGACATTATTCAAGGATACCTTGCCTGGGCACCAGCTGCAGGGTGACAATGAGGCACCGCATTCTAGCAGTAGCTTTTGGAAACCACTAGCGCTGGAACTCGACAAACTTTACTGGAATGTGAAGAGGGTGACCACACCTGCTGTGTTGTCTCGTTTCTTTCTTCGTCCTTTCATTCTATCATTCTAGCGCGCAAAATGTTTACACGAGATAAGCAGCCAGCTGACGAAAACGCAGGACTACTCTCTCATGAAAAGGACAATATAAGCGGGGGGGGGGGGGGGGACGAAATTCTTCTGGAAGACTTCTGCGAAGTACAGGATAGCTCAGTGGGGAAAGGTGAAATACACTCGGTGACTCATGAAAGAAAAGATGTGGAACCTAAAGGCTCCAGGTCTCGTTTTTCATTTTCCTTTGTTAGACACAATATTATTGAGAACTATTGGACAATGACGCCCGGGAAAGGTGCCTTGGCATCATTCTGTCAATTCTCATTGGTGTCTGTGATTCATTACTTGAAATACATGCTAGTATTTCGGATATATACTCGCATACCTTTTTTTTTTTTTTTTGCGAATCCAGATTGGATGGTTTGCAAACGGCTGCAAGACAGCTCTCTTGTAAGCTTCCTCTTTTTTTTTTCTTCCAGCAAAATATTCGTTTGCAGGCGGCTTTTCGGCGAAGGTACGCGAACGCTACGAATACTTTCTTCAAAAATTGCGGCGACATTGTCACGCCTCATTCTTGCCTCTCACTCTAGGCATGACTAAAGCCCCCCGCCCTCCCCTTCCCCCATCACGTCTACTGCCGCATGGAGGCATGACGAACGAGGAACTTGTAGTTCGGGGGTCACACGTTCCTTAGAACTGGGAACGGCTAAAGCCCAACCAGGGAGAAAAACAGCCTGAGAATACTGACGCTTCACCGAGGGAAAAAAAAAAAAAAAACATTGGGGGGGGGGGGGGGGATGTCGTCCCGAAACGCTTTTGCGAACCGTCCATTACTAGTTTTGTGAAGCTGGGATAAACTGGCATGAAAGACAGACAGGTAGACCGAATTACGTCTTCTAACAAACTAACCCCCCCCCCCCACCCCCAAAAAAAATCATCGGACCTCGTGACAAAAATATTCCGTGTACAGTCGAATAAGTGTTGCGTAGGGGCGCGTAATTTTAGTCCTATCCTTGCCACATATGGTGGTGGTGGTAGTGGTTAGAAGATGAGAAAAGGCACCTAATTTCTGCAACCCGGTCGGGAGCACGGCGCAGTGCCTAACGCATATGGCCCTCGACTGCAATTGAAACTGATCGTTTCTCGATCCCGATTGCCTCCTTTCTCAGAGCTTATGTGTTGTGTGTCTTTACCTCTTTTGTATCCTGAATGACAAGCTTCGGTAGAGCAGTTAATCGCGACCAAGAAGTTCGATTCTCAGACTTCGGCGATCGAATTTCGATGGAGGCGCCATGTTTGAGGTACTCGAGATCAGCGTTCGTTGTCAGGTCTCCAGGTAGTTAAAATTTCCGGACCCCTCCGGTACGGCGTGCCCCAAAATCTTATCACGTTTTGGCACGGTTGACGAGAGATGTTATTATTAAGCGGTGACAGCAGCAGGACCGATGCTGGCTGGCAGGGAGATCAGAGATTCTGACATCATGCTTTCGGGGAAAGTGCGATACACAAAAGCGTGGACCGCCCGTTACACTCGCTGGCCTTGACGCCCTGTGTGGGCATGTTTCCTTCTCTCTTCGTCGTTCGTGCTGCTTTAACTTCGCAGATGCCTTCACGTGTTACGACGCAGCCGTCACCACAAATTTTGAAAACGTCGCTTTTTATTTCATGCGACGAACCGATATGAGGTGCTCGAATTTTGCGGTTACGCATGGTTATGGCGGACGTTTCGCGTCAACATCGCGTCATGTGTTGTAACTATCCGGTTCTGTAAGTAGGGAAGAGGTTAGTTGCTTGGAAATGTACCCTATTTTCACCTGTAAGCCCTTTTCCTATCTACGCGAGTGATACGACTGACGAGTGTTTGAAAGAAACAAAGTAACAAATGTTAAGCTGACACGCTGTCTGAATCAGTGAGTGAGGAAAGCAAAATTCACGGGAACTACGCGCGTTTCTTGCTTCTGACACGGTGTAACGTTGTTATGTGAAGTTTTGTACTGTAATCAGTGTAGTAGTGGACGCAAAATGTAAACGCGTCACTCAGATATGAAGCTAACGTATCGATGCGCTGCAGAGCAACACATGAACACATCACGGCGCACGGAGAAACAGCACATCGCGAACGGGCAACCGCCACTCATCGTGTCTGCTGCCTTCTGCGCCGTTTCCAACCGTCGCGCGCTTTAGTTCCCGTGACCGCCCCGCTGTGGCGCACCCTGACAGGCGACGCACGGCGCGGGAGTGTTCAACCTTGGCGGGGGGCGATCACCCCACTCCGCGATTGGTTGGCGTCTCTAACACGTCACATCCGGAGCGCGCCTCAATAAAACCCCGGGTAAGAGCTCGCTCGCACGTTCATTTGCTCTCTGGCTTGCGCGCGCGAACTTGTCTGGCGCATTTGCACGTGGTCCGCTGTTGGAAGCGATTTTGACCGTCGAAGCGGTTGGAACCTCGTGGATTACACCGAAAGCTCTCGCAGGCACGTACCTACTGCTTCACCGGACCAGTTCTTGGCGCTGGCACCGCGAACGGATACCCCTCGGATTATCATCGGCCGTGGTTCTGTTCTCGCAGCACGTGGTGGTTTGTGTCATTTTGGCGCCCTTCTTCGCCTCCGTTGATGTGTGACGTGTGATCGCGGCGGCTCTCCTGAGGATGGTGCCCCACAGCTCGGGTAGCGTGGACGCGGATAACACGATGGAGCAGCAGCAGAAGAGACGCAGCGCACAGCCTTTCGGCTCGCTCAAGGTGGACGTCAATTCGCCGACGCCGTACACGGATGCCACCCAGTGCAAGAAGGTGACGAATCACATCAAGAGGCCCATGAACGCGTTCATGGTGTGGAGCCAGATCGAGCGGCGCAAGATTTGCGAGCAGCAGCCGGACATGCACAACGCGGAAATTAGCAAGCGGCTCGGAATGCGTTGGAAGATGCTGACCGATCAGGAGCGCAAGCCGTACATCGAAGAGGCCGATCGGCTGCGACTGCTGCACATGCAGGAGTATCCGGACTACAAGTACAGGCCGCGCAAGAAGGTCAAGGCTGGCGGAGCCTCGACGACGACCGCCGCCGCCAAGCCGGCAACGGAACGCCAGGCCGCGTCTGCTCCCGCCAAACATTCTCACCACTCTGTGGCCAAGGTGAGCACGATCGCCGCCACCGCCCATGTCCCGGTCAAGTCGCACCACCACCACCACCACAAGAGCTCATCGTCGCACCATCACCACAAGTCTTCCGGTCACCGCGAACATCATCATCACCACCACCACCACCATCACAAGTCCAAAAAGTCTTGCGTTCAGATCGCGTCCGTGGCGCCGGTGAACGGCAACGGTCACCCCCGGCTCAAGCTGAAGCTCACTATCGACGACAAGTTCAAGAAGAGCATCAGCCGCAGCAAACACGTACCCGTAGCTACGGGCCAGCTGACGCCGCCGGCAAAGGTGCCGTGTTCGCCATCGGCCGAGGAACCGGCCTCGCCCGAGAGCACCAATGTGTCGCTGTACGAAGACATGGTCGTGGACGTCAAGCCCTCGATCGCCGATCTGATGGCCGCTAGCTCGGCCGTCTCGCCCTCGAGCACTTGCTCGTCTTCGACTGTTTCGTCCTCGTCTTCATCCTCGTCCTCCTCCTCATCGTCGGCGTCGTCCGTCCAGTCCAACCAGCTGAATCAGCGATTCTCGGACACCTCGGCGCTCGCCGATCTGGACCACATCACGGAGGTGTTCGACCTGGCCTCCAACTGGGGCGCGAACGAACTGAACGCGTTCGTGATGAACACCTCTCTCGGCGACATGGACGTAATGGATAGTGCAAGTTCGAGTTCGGCCACTCACTTCCAGTTTCCCGACCTGACGCCCGAAGTGTCAGACATACTCGGCGTTGGGTGGCTTGAGAACAGTCTCTCCTGCTGAAAGCGACGGCAACCATCTCGAATACCCCGTATGTTTGTCAACTTCTCACTAACTCATCTTCTAGCCTTCATTTTTTTTTTCTCGCTAATTGTTTTGCTGCCCGCCAGCTTTTGAGGTTCTAGTTTAAATTGCCCTTCCCAACCAGTTCTTTTTCTTCTCCTTCGCAGCGTCTATGAATTAGTGATGTCCTGAATCCCGTATCTGAGAAAAAATCTACCGTTCATGTTCTCACGGACAGCTTTCCGATCTCTCGCCTACAATCACTTTCCCTAAAACTTGTGTCTTAACGCGTCCTGTTCTTATTGAGTATTCACTGAGGCAGTGAAACTGCTTGCACGTGGGGAGGCTTGTCCTGCTAGCTCGCGCAGTTATCTATACGAGCTCTTGAGGAAGAAAAAAAAAAAAACGACAAAGCTGCTGTCGAAACACGCTTGCAGAGCACGTGTTCCCCGCGGTCTTTTTTTTTTTTTCTCTTTTCCGCCCCTCTGTGTCGTTTTAATTCCGTGTTGCCGGTATGTCGTCATTCGCTTTTCCTTTCTGTTCGTTTTTTTTTTCCACGCTCCTTTTTCCTAGTGTCCGCTGTTTCCTCGACGGGCTCATACGTTTCCGGCAACCCTTTTTTCTCTACTTTTTCTTTCTACGTCTCTCCGTTGGCCTCACTCCCGTTTCGTCGCTGGCGACCTCGGAAGGAGTTTAAAACAATAAAAAGAGAGAAAAAAGAAAGACTTCTGCGGCCGTCTTACCCCTTTTACCTCGTAGCGTTTCACTTGAGCTAGAGTAAGGAAAAAAAAATGATCTCACTTCCACCAACTCTACCAAACAACCTGTTTGTCCCACTTCCCTTCTTTCCTTTTTTTTTTTTGTTACGCAGCGTACTTGTAAAAGCTAGAACGAGCGGCGCAAGATTTGCGAGCAGCAGCCGGACATGCACAACGCGGAAATTAGCAAGCGGCTCGGAATGCGTTGGAAGATGCTGACCGATCAGGAGCGCAAGCCGTACATCGAAGAGGCCGATCGGCTGCGACTGCTGCACATGCAGGAGTATCCGGACTACAAGTACAGGCCGCGCAAGAAGGTCAAGGCTGGCGGAGCCTCGACGACGACCGCCGCCAAGCCGGCAACGGAACGCCAGGCCGCGTCTGCTCCCGCCAAACATTCTCACCACTCTGTGGCCAAGGTGAGCACGATCGCCGCCGCCGCCCATGTCCCGGTCAAGTCGCACCACCACCACCACCACAAGAGCTCATCGTCGCACCATCACCATCACCACAAGTCTTCCGGTCACCGCGAACATCATCATCACCACCACCACCACCATCACAAGTCCAAAAGTCTTGCGTTCAGATCGCGTCCGTGGCGCCGGTGAACGGCAACGGTCACCCCCGGCTCAAGCTGAAGCTCACTATCGACGACAAGTTCAAGAAGAGCATCAGCCGCAGCAAACACGTACCCGTAGCTACGGGCCAGCTGACGCCGCCGGCAAAGGTGCCGTGTTCGCCATCGGCCGAGGAACCGGCCTCGCCCGAGAGCACCAATGTGTCGCTGTACGAAGACATGGTCGTGGACGTCAAGCCCTCGATCGCCGATCTGATGGCCGCTAGCTCGGCCGTCTCGCCCTCGAGCACTTGCTCGTCTTCGACTGTTTCGTCCTCGTCTTCATCCTCGTCCTCCTCCTCATCGTCGGCGTCGTCCGTCCAGTCGAACCAGCTGAATCAGCGGTTCTCGGACACCTCGGCGCTCGCCGATCTGGACCACATCACGGAGGTGTTCGACCTGGCCTCCAACTGGGGCGCGAACGAACTGAACGCGTTCGTGATGAACACCTCTCTCGGCGACATGGACGTAAGGATAGTGCAAGTTCGAGTTCGGCCACTCACTTCCAATTTCCCGACCTGACGCCCGAAGTGTCAGACATACTCGGCGTTGGGTGGCTTGAGAACAGTCTCTCCTGCTGAAAGCGACGGCAACCATCTCGAATACCCCGTATGTTTGTCAACTTCTCACTAACTCATCTTCTAGCCTTCATTTTTTTTTTCTCGCTAATTGTTTTGCTGCCCGCCAGCTTTGAGGTTCTATGTTTAAATTGCCCTTCCCAACCAGTTCTTTTTCTTCTCCTTCGCAGCGTCTATGAATTAGTGATGTCCTGAATCCCGTATCTGAGAAAAAATCTACCGTTCATGTTCTCACGGACAGCTTTCCGATCTCTCGCCTACAATCACTTTCCCTAAAACTTGTGTCTTAACGCGTCCTGTTCTTATTGAGTATTCACTGAGGCAGTGAAACTGCTTGCACGTGGGGAGGCTTGTCCTGCTAGCTCGCGCAGTTATCTATACGAGCTCTTGAGGAAAAAAAAAAAAAACGACAAAGCTGCTGTCGAAACACGCTTGCAGAGCACGTGTTCCCCGCGGTCTTTTTTTTTTTTTCTCTTTTCCGCCCCTCTGTGTCGTTTTAATTCCGTGTTGCCGGTATGTCGTCATTCGCTTTTCCTTTCTGTTCGTTTCTTTTTTTTTCCACGCTCCTTTTTCCTAGTGTCCGCTGTTTCCTCGACGGGCTCATACGTTTCCGGCAACCCTTCTTTCTGTACTTTTTCTTTCTACGTCTCTCCGTTGGCCTCACTCCCGTTTTGTCGCTGGCGACCTCGGAAGGAGTTTAAAACAATAAAAAGAGAGAGAAAAAAAAAACAAGACTTCTGCGGCCGTCTTACCCCTTTTACCTCGTAGCGTTTCACTTGAGCTAGAGTAAGGAAAAAAAAAATGATCTCACTTCCACCAACTCTACCAAACAACCTGTTTGTCCCACTTCCCTTTTTCTTTCCTTTTTTTTTTTGTTACGCAGCGTACTTGTAAAAGCTAGAACGCAGCAGGCGTTTGGGTTCGGTCCTTTCGGAAAAAAAGATCCCGCAGCTGTGGTGCTTGTCTTGGCTTGGGCTCGTGACGGATTTGCCACCTGCGAATGTGTCTGCATGCCTCTCTTCTACGCCAAGCTTTCAAACAAACGAACGAGAAACGTCAAGGCGTAAATGGTAACGACAACCTTTCGCCTTGGTTCAATTTCTTCTTTAACCATCTGCGTCGCACTCGCTGTAACAATCTTGCAGCGTTTAATAAACCTCTGAGGCATGTTTCATAAGCCGCGCTAGCCTCCTCCCCTTACTCTTTTTTTTTCGCCCCTACTGTATCGCAGATTACAAGCGAGAGTTTGCCAATATGTGCGGCGTTGTATTATTCAGAGGCGTTAGTTGACTGATGTCCACTGAGGTGCACAAGACTATCTTCTACACGAAGTGCTGGTCATTTGCCAAGTTCCTTTTCGGAGTTTTTGTACTGCAGCGTGCATTTCAGACTCTCGGAAGTTCGCTATAGAAAAGTGGTTACAGCTTCAGGGGCTAACCTCATCTGTGTAGATACGTCCAAGTTGCCCCGGAGATAGTTTGTGCTGGAACTGGCGTTGCAAAGAAAATTGCGATGTATTCGTTCATTTCGTCGCCTACGCTCCGTTTTTCTGAGTCAGCAGCGTATGTCGGAGAAGGGCGAATACGCAGCGGAGATGTTGTTTCACAGTCATTTTTTTTTTCTTTTTTTTTGTCGATGTTTTGACTCGCCTAAGTTTCTCCAGAACTCCATCGTCCCGACCAGTTAGCTGGACCAATAAAAAAACGTCTCACTGCGTCGTTTCAGACGTTACAAGCTATAATAAATGTCCGTTCGTACGTGACGTAGTGTACTTCTTCCGAGAGGTAGTTTTAAGTGTCCTTGGCTGTATAAAAAAAAAAAACAAAGCTTAAGCATTCCGAAAGCAACTACAATCTATCTTTTAACAGCTTTTGTTCGTTCTACTGCCAGGGTTTGCGTAAGTCTTTTGGTTCGTTTTAAGTGGCTTATATTTTATCTTGTGTGCGTGTTGTATCACGTGACACAGTCCCGTCCTCATCACACCAATTGCACCCATCAGTCGTCGTGGTGTATGTTGGGATATCTCATTGGAGCGTGGATGCATAGCTTTTTTTTATTGGCTGGGCTACTGTACTTTGCGTTATTTTGTTCGTACCGGCTGGACTATTATTTTTTTTTTCATGTATCGCACGTTTGAATAGTGTTGGGGTGCGAGTACTTATATTGATGGGCATTAGTATTTTTCCAACTTAATCAGCGTTCATTTCTTTTGTTCAATTAATAGCGGTAGCGATGTATATTTTTTTTTTCTTTTGCTTCGCTGTGTTACGTGATTCCTATGACGTGAATGGTATAGAGCAACTATTTCGAGCAAGCTGATGTTTGTATTAGATGGAAAGTTCTTTGTAATCGTTGTATCGAGTGTAAACGTTGTTTTAACTCATGACTTGTTTGCAGCATTTACGAAAGAATCTTATCTTGTTTACTCAAACAAAAAATTAATTTGTATGAATAGAAAAGCAAAAAAAAAAAAATGTTTTTCGCATTGATACGTCGGGAGAACTGTAAACACTACCGACGTTTCTTTGCACTTTCGTCTTAAAAGTATGAAATTGAAAGTTTATTGTAAATTTGTGGTCGTGTCATTGCAACGATGCTGTCAACGTGTCGTTTTAAATGGTGTCCGCGTCTATACTAAAGTCACGTTCGTTTAAAAAATTCTTCTACAAACTATTAGTAAAGAACAAGCTCTGTATCTCGTTAGATGTTCATTTAGTGTGTTAACAAGTTACAGCGTTTTTGTTTCTGATGTTTTATTCGTTATATTTAAACTTCGTTTCCTCTGACGTCAATTTGTTCTTTATAGATATGGCAGAGTACTTGTCAAGTCCGTTGTCGAACAATGATAAAACGCTATAAAAATAGATAAGAGAAAAACTGTCTTATTTTGTTCCTGATTTTTTTTTTTTCCTGTCGCAGTTGTGATTTTGTTTCTCCGTGTTCGAGTCAGTGTTGGTTTCCATGCGCTATGCGTATGTGTTGTTGGAATATTTTTTTTTCTTTTCCATTTTGTGCAAAGCAGCTTATGAAGTGTATGTTCGGGCAAACCTAGCTTCACACATTTTTTTTTTTTCGTGTATTGTCGTCTGTAGTTTTGCGCTGTGCCGCTTTTTTTTTTGCTTGTTTTGCCTTTGTCCTTCAAGAAGCTGTTGTGAAAGTGTATGCGTGTGTTTGTTCAACGTGTTTGTGCAAGTCCACAGAACATTTTTTTTCTTCTAGAAGTTGGTCGCCAGGGCAAAAGTGTTGACCCTGCGTTTTCAGACCTTCCGAAACGCGTGTGTAAATATATACATAATAATTATAAATATATATTATAAATATATCTTCGCAGCGCATAGATGATATATGAAAGTATATTTGTACATTTTAATAAGAGAAGAAAAAATGTCAAAAAAATACATGCAAAGGTATCACGATGCAAGTTTGTACCATAGTGAAAAAAAAAAAGATTTTTTCGTTTTACGAAAGCATCGAATAAATGCATTGTGCCATCAAGAAGTCTCTTTGTGTTGTCTTTTGCTGACATCATCTGATGTTTTGTTGACTTGTCACTGGTGTGGCATGCTCCGATTGGCTGAAACTGGAGAGCGAGCGAGGATGCACCAGTAGCTTCGATCTCAATCCAATCGGAGCATGCTGAAAAACGGACAGCTCATTCAGGGGAGACTTACTTGCAGCTTGCCACGCCAGGAATTTAATTTGTCTACGTGGTGTTTAATGAAAAGCCCGAGTGAGACGCCCCATAACTTAAGACCAATAAAATATTGACAGCCGTAGTGCCACTAACTGCACCCTATTCATTAATAGGGTCCGGTTCATTAATGAAAGAAAATGATTGTTGATGAAAGTTTCGTTTGTATGTTTGTTGAAGTTTTGAAACTGCCGCCTGAGAAATGGCTGATGTGATGGATTTCAAGGTACTCTACTTTTTACACATTGACTCCATTCGGTCGTTGAAACGTTTTAGAAAGTGCCGTATTAATTTCTTGCTTTCTCGGGAATACAAATCGTTTTTCGTCTTTGGAGTTCACTCGAAAAATTCGGGCTCTACGCAATGGTTTCCATTTGAAACAGTGGGATTTTTTCCTCCTCAGCGTACAACAATCCGCCAGTTTAACGAGTGTAGCTACATTGAATCTATCAGTTTAATTTTTAGTGTAGGTTTTCCTTAAAGGTCACTTCAAATACCGTCAGCGGCCAACAGTTGACGTCAACTGTGTTAGCAGCGTGCAAAAAGAGATTTAATAGTGCACGCATTGGTTGTCACGGTAGTTCGGGTTGTGTGATCAGTCTTCTTGCAGGTGTTGCAATTAGATATATGGTTTGAATGGAATGCTATTGCGACGGCTCGAAAATGTTAATCACGTTATCTTTAGCGAAAATTTATCTTTGTGGTGGGAAGGAGCAAGATTGGGGTCGACAACCTTGGTCTTAGCTGTCTCTTTATTTGATACTGTTGTCGCATAAAAAAGTGGTCTATATTGTAGGAGCCTCGTAACGATAAACGTTGCGGAATATTTGAAGGTGCGATGAAACAGATGCTCAAAGTGATCGGAATTTTCAGCGAGGGAACTCTGGGTTCCGCCGTAACAGCTTCGGGGTTGTTGTAATTATGCGTGATTTTGCCAAGCAACAATGCGCTGTCGAGGCTGTGACGTCAGCTTGTGTACTCTAGTGCAACAGTCCACAAAAGATTGATTGATATGTAGGGTTTAACGTTCCAAAACCACCACATGATTATGAGAGACGCCGTAGTGAAGGGCTTCGGAAATTTAGTCCGCCTGGGGTTCTTTAACGTGCACCCAAATCTGAGCACACGGGCCCACAACATTTCCGCCTCCATCGGCAATGCAGCCGCCGCAGCCGGCATTCGAACCCGTGACCTGCGGGTCAGTAGCCGAGTACCTTAGCCACTAGACCACCGTGGCGGGGCAGTCCACAAAAGAGGTGATCCGTCTCCTCGTTGGAGGAGGTCTATATTGGGTGTTTTTATTGATCTATCGTGCTCCAAAAAGAAAATAAGAGAGAGAGAACACAACTTTATTGTCGTCAGACTTAAGGAGGTAGGTGACCCGCCAGGCTGAACCTGATGGCCACCTCCTCTGCCCTTTGTACGGCCTGGAGCTGAACGGCCAGGCTGGTGGAGGTCAGAACTGCCTCCCACCCCTCTGGCGAGGGAGCGGCTAGGAGATCGAGAGAGGGGGGATCTTCCCTGCAGGCCCAGAGAATGTGATTAAGTGTGGCTATTGAGCCGCAATGCGAGCAATGCGGATCAATCGAGTCGGGGTAAATACGTGCATAAATGTATGGGCACGGAAATGAATGTGTTTGCAAGCGGCGCCAGATAACCTCCTGGCGCTTAGTTAGCTTATGGTGCGGGGGTGGTTTTGTCTGCCTCGAAAGACGGTAATATTGTGTGATGTCATGGTAGGATGTCAAGGCTTCACCAGGGTTTTCCAAATCAGAGGCGGGTACCACCGCTCGGCTGACGAATCCTCGAGCATATAGGTGGGCCGCCTCGTTCCCTGGGTTCCCCGCGTGAGCCGGCACCCACACCAGCGCAATGGAGGATAGTGCGTCTTCCTCAGCATCTGTAAGGAGACTGGGCAGTAGTAAACGCAGAGTTGTGGGGGCCACAATGCCACGTGCGAAGTTGGATATAGCAGCCTTTGAGTCACTGAGTATAGTGGTGAATCCGGATGCTGCTGCTAGCGCTATCGCCGCTTCCTCAGCTTCTGTCGTATTAAGCACACGGACAGAAGCAGCCGCTTTAATTTGAGGTGAATTGGCGTTGTTGCCGGGGAGAGTGATTACGCTTATTGCATATGCTTTAGTAAACTCTCGGTATTGGGCGGCGTCAACGTACGCAACGGTTGGGTTGGACGCGTACGTTTTTTGCAAGAATTTGGCCCTCGCTTTCCTTCTACCGTCGTGATGGCTGGCCAACATGTTCTTTGGCAGTGGTTTTATGAGGAATTTCTTTCTGATGTTGGGGGGGATGACAGCCGGATCGTTACCCGTAGGAGATACCACATGGTCAATGTTAGCAAGGATCCAACGCCCCGTCCTGCTTCCCTGTAATCGGTGAATTTGCGCCGTAAGATGCGCTTCAAGAAGTTCTTCTAAGGTGTTATGCAGCCCAAGACTGAGGAGGTGCTCTGTCGATGTGTTTCGGGGGAGACCCAATGCCACCTTATACGCTTTGCGTAAGAGCCGATTTAGTTGGGCTCGCTCAGATTGAAGGAGGTGCAAATAAGGGAGGGCGTACGTGAAGCGCGACAAAACGAAGGCTTGAATTATCTGTAGCAGTTCTTTCTCCTTCATGCCTCGATTGCGAGCGCTCACTCGAGATATAAGATGGGCCGTCTGGTTCACGGTTACGGTGAGACGGTCTAGCGTAATGTTGTTGTGGTGGTTTGTTTGCACAATGAGTCCGAGTACTCTCATGTGGGCCACCTGCTTAATTGGCGTGTCATTGACATACACGTTAATACTAGGAAGTGGAGTCTTAATTTTGCGGCGATCTGGGGGTCGCAGTAATAGTAGCTCCGATTTGCTCTGGGAACACTCCAAACCCGCCTCTGACACGTGCTGAACGACTACGTCGGTTGCTCTTTGAAGAGTCTCCTCGATTTGACCATCGGATCCCACCGTCGTCCAGAGCGTGATGTCATCTGCGTAGAGGGTGTATCGCAGGCCGGGTATCGTGTCAAGTTTGGGAGGTAGTGACCTCATAGCGAGGTTGAAAAGGAAAGGGGACAAAACAGCTCCCTGCGGGGTGCCGCGATCACCGAGTGTGATGAGCTTAGAACGAAGGTCACCCACTGAGAGTTCAACCGTTCGATTAGATAAGAAAGCACGGGCGTAGTTAAATATGCGTTCCCCGGATCGTAGTTCGGACAGACTGCCTAAAATGGCACTATGCTTCACGTTGTCAAATGCTTTGTGAAGGTCCAGACCGAGCAAAGCCTTGGTACTAGTGCCACTCTCAGGTCGTAGGAGATCGTGATGCAACTGGATGAGCGCATCCTGAGTGGATAGATGGGCCCTGAAGCCCAGCATTGTGGGGGGAAGTAGGCGGTGCTCTTCCGCGAAATTTTGCAAGCGACAGAGGACAACATGCTCCATTAGTTTGCCCAGGCAGGAGGTCAACGAGATTGGACGAAGATTCTCCAGGTCGAGTTTCTTGCCCGGTTTCGGTATAAACGCGACCCTTGCGTGTTTCCATTCTGATGGCAAATGGCCGGACCTCCAGCACTCATTCATATATTCAGTAATGGCCCCTACCGACTTTGGATCGAGGTTGCGCAGCGTCTTATTTGTCACCCCGTCAGGACCGGGTGCCGATGTTGTACGCAGTTTATGTAGCGCTATGCAAACCTCACTTTCCGAAATGTCGGCGTCCAACTGTTCGTTGGCTGTTCCAGTGTATTCAGGCAACTGCTCTGTGCTGTTCTGTTTCTGAGATGTGTTGATGTAGCGGGTGATGAGCTCCTCCAGCAGCTCTTCGTTGGTGCCCGGGTATTGATGGACAATTCGCGCGAGCTGTTTGCGTGCGGCCGACTTGGAGCTACCAGGGTCCAGCAGGTGTCGCAGAAGATGCCACGTTTTCTTGCAGCCCATCTGGCCATTGAGGCTGCCGCAAAGTTGGCCCCACTGTTGGCGTGTTAGCACAGCGGTGTGGGCTTCTAATTCACGTTCGAGCCTCGAGATGCGGCGGCGGAGCCTTGTGTTGTGACGTTGGCGCCGCCACCTACGCATGAGGCTTTCATGCGCCTCCCACATATGTAGAAGGCGTGAATCTGTTGATGGCTGTTCCGGAGTTACGTCTGCTTGGTATGTTGTAGCGTCCACATCTCGACTCAAAGAAAGTATCCATTCGTTCAAGTCCAATACCGAATCGGGTGCCGTTTCTTTGCGCAGTTGGCGGAATTTATCCCAGTCTGTAATGCGAGCTGTGGCTCGTTTTTTTACATTGCTTGTGGTTAACTCAATGGTTACCGCTAGAATGAAATGGTCACTTCCTACGGTGTGACCTGTGTTTTGCCAACGGGCACCCTCCGTGTTTTTGCAAAGGGAGAGGTCTGGGGTAGTATCTCGACATACGCTGTTCCCGATTCGCGTCGATTGCTCCGGATCATTGAGGATACTGAAACCTAGGTCGTGTATGATGCTCCATAATCGGCGACCCTTGGGGTTGGATTTCGGGTATCCCCATTCGGGATGTTTTGCGTTAAAATCGCCTAGTACGAGCAGCTTTGCATCCTTCGCCAGATTTGTTGCTTTCCGAAAGATGTAAGGTAGATCCGCAGCTGTATCTCTTGGAGGGCTGTATATATTTAAAATGAAGAGTGGCTTGTCTCCTCGTCTTTTTGGTATAATTTCCACCAGTGTGTGATGAATACTCGTACCCTCAATTTCATGTTGAATGGCTGTGACATTCTTGTGTACTAAGATGGCAGTGTGGCATTGTGCGCTCGCGGATATGTCTATTTTCT